ATGGTTCTCCGCCCGGCAATTGGCAAGCTCTCTCGCGTCGAGGTATACACAACCAGGACAGCGGATCCTGACACCAAAGAGGAAGAAGAGAAATATCTCTTTGGCAAAGTCTTCACCAAACAATACTCTCCGTCAGCGCTCCAACAACACGCACGGCTCGAGGCTACCTGGAAAGAGTGTTCTAAAGCTCAGGCGCCTGGTAATCAGTACCAGATACCAGAGGAGATCAACCCGCAGTCGGCCATGCCGCCCCGGGGTGAGTTTACTGTCCTGCATATATGCGCATATACTCATCTTATATAGCCGGCTTCATCAAATTTACTCAGTATCTGGCATTGTGCACCGAAGGTCGTCTCGGTCCCTTTGCCGTCAAGAAGACTATACGCACGCTCATGGCTTCGCTTTTCGGCATCTGGCGGCGAAAGGCTCTTCAGGTCGTTCCTCAGGACACTCGTCAGCAAGTGTACGCATACATCGACTCCGAAGAGCTTCAGCGCATTGCCCCCCTCGAGACTAAAGAACGCGACAAGCACTTTCTCAGTGCGCGGGATTTCGACATCATGGCCTCCGGCATCTTCGAAGACGTAGACGGCTTCAGGACAAGTCGCATGATGATTCAGGTCCTACATGCGTTACTCCTGCAGAGCTTGTCCTCTGAGCGCCCGGGCGCAATCGTCGAAAGCTCTAGTCGTCGAGGAACCAACCAGGCCCTGCTCTGGAGGGACTACGAATTCCACATCATACCAAACCCCGACGATCCCCATAGCCCACTCATCATCATCCGCCTCAGAATACACCACCTCAAGGGTTATTGCAAGGACGATGCCAAACACAAAGACCTCATTTTGATGCCCGAGACCGAATCTCGAGTGTTTTGCCCCGTCTCTTCGGCCGTTGCAATGGCCATCGAGGACAACGTCTTTCCAGACGTCAAGACTGTTGAGGAGATATTTCACCCCAAAATCCCTCCTACCGAACACCACATCCTCATCATGTATCCTGAAGCGGCGGCCAAGCCTGTCCTCCGTTCAGAAATCTTTGACGGCCTTGTGTGGATCACTTCTCCTACTCGAGCTTTAACCTACAATATCCTTGCTGGTCATCTTCGGCGCGTCAGCATGAACAAGGGCTTCATACGTAGGTCTTGATTCCCATATCTATTCTTTCACTCACTCTTTTGTCAGATCATGTCACCTGTTATTGTTGTCGGCGTGGTGCATCGAATCGCATCTCTCGTGAGATGACTGCACAAGATCGGTCTACCCTCATGGGTCATGTTGAGGGGTCAAAGAAATTTGACGTATGTGTTTTATTTACGCCATCGGCTACAACTGACTTGCCCTTAGAATCATTACAAGAGTCGCCTCATAGATGCTGATCTCGGAGCTGTCTTCCAAGGTAGAGACGCAAATGTCGAGTATGTGGAAGCCGCAAAGGTACGCTGGCAACACATTCTCTCTCCTCCTGCTCATGTTTGTGTCAGGTTTTGTCTGATATGTCGTCTCGCAGAGATGAAAATGCGCCCACCGAGTTGACTGCAGCAGGCAAAGCAGCACTCTTGGCTGAACCAGAACTTGTCGAGATGGACGTTGAACGAAAAAAGGTGTCTTTTGTTCTTTGACCGCCTCTACTCACTTCTCTGACAACTTCCCAGGTCGCTGGTCTAATTCAGTCTGCGTCCAAGCAGTTGACATGTGCCGACGTCAATGAAGAATCTAAATCAGAACTGGAAGTGCAGATAGCTTCGTTGAGACAGGAAAAGAAAAAATTAGATCTCAAATACACAAGGGCCTTCCGACGCGAAGCGGAAAAACGGGCTGTCGAACTTTGGACAGAACATTTCCATGCACAGTCGACTCGACAGTTAACCGGACAAGTATGTGACTTTTCACGTTCTCTGACCTGTCCTCATCTGTTATGCAGTCCACCAATATCACCGTTTTGCCTATAACCAAGGGCAAAGAAAACACGGCCTCGTCTCTCGTTGCCCAGCGTCGCAAAGCTCCATCCGATCAAGCTGCTCTCCGGAATGAAGCTATAGACACCCTTTTCCAAGAGGTCTATGGTGACAATGCAAAGCCCTCCTCTGCCAACAACGCTATCATCGACTTTGTCAACAAATACTTGGTCTTGACGACGCACCCTCGCACCAAACTTATCGTTTGCTATCCAGGAGAGGGTCTGACAGATGACAGCAAATGTGCCATATGTGGCAAGGAATCTAGGTATGTTAGGCTTCTGTTTTCAAGTGTCACGCTCACGATTCGTAGTGCCATGCGACAGATAGGGAAACATCTGCACGACTGTCTGCAAAAGCAAAAGTCGACAGAGGCTCAAGACAATGCCAACGATAACTATCAACCCAACCCGTGCTTGTGGCAAGACTGCTTCTCAGGCAGCACGATATGGTCAACTCGGGAAGCATACATCAAACACATCGCTCAACATACGAAGATGTTGACACAGCCGGTGCCGAAGGCGGGTGGTGTGAAACGTCAATGCTTGTGGGTCGACGAGATCGTGTGTGGCAAGGAAGATAGCAAATACACGTCCACCGACTGGGCTGTTCACTTTGCTCAGGAGCATGGTCTCAACACATGTGCGACCATTGCTGTTGATCACTGCACCCAGTGTGGTCTATGGTTTGAGGATGAAGTCGGGGATCGGTCTGTGTGGGAGGACCACTGCGTTTATCATTACAACGACCAGTTTTCCTCATTCCAGGAGCGTGCGGAAGGCAACATCGATTTGCAACCGCGCGGTGTTGGCATCCACGACTCGGATAACGTTGTCGTGTTTGATCCGAGTGACGGTTTGGGCGGTTCTCATCCAGAACTTTATGGATACATCGAGCAGAACGTTGCTGTCGTTCCACTCTACTGCCCATATTGCGTCTTTGATGAGACACTGGCACCATCGAAACGGATGCATCAGTGAGTCCCTTTCAGTCTTCCTTTGTTTCTTCCGCCCATCTTTCACTAGGTTCAGAGACAATGGTGTCTTTTCTCGACACATGTTCGCTCAACATGTTGGAGGCCTTACTCAGTTGACAATGTGTCCAGTGCCATCATGCGGCACTCACTCTTTCACCCCTTTCGACCTGCTGTATCATCTTGTCGCATTCCACCGTCTCCCCATTATGGGCACTGCACGGCCCAAGGTTGGCACGGGCACCCGCAACGAGCGTAGGCTAACTCTTCCCGTTTTGGGCGATGACGGTCAAGTCGTGATAAAGAAAGCTACGCCTGCCCGGTCCACCGAAAAAGTGACGATCTCACAGTACTATCGATGCGCCGGTTGCTACTCTATTTTGGTGGATATCCACAAGCATCTGGCAGGTGCAAAGCTCACGTCCCAGTGCCGCCAGCGAGGACGATACACACCGGTCTTGAAGGACGGCACACCAGTGGGCGAGCAAGAATGTTTTGACTATTCTACAGTTGTGCGTATTACCTCTATTACAGCATATCAAGCTCACTGTAGTTTCAGGATGCATCCCTTGCTGGCAGTACCTCAAAACGGGGGAGAAACCACTATTGCGAAATATGTACCCAGCAGTTCTTCGACATCCGCGAGCACCTTCCAAAGAATTGCTCGGCCGAGTTTTTTCGCATCAAAAACGAGTCACATCGCCACGCTCGCAACGGCATTCGATATCGCTTCGTTGATTGGGAGCGGAAACAACGTCAAACGCCACTGGAGACTATTCGCGCATCGACGAGCATCCTCAGGGACATGGCAGCTGTGCTTCCTCAGCAGCTACAGGACGCAATGGATATGGTTTTGAAGGACACTCTTAGAATTACAGAAAAAGCGTTGGGGATGATGATTGACTAATGGCACCACCCCGCCGAGCGGGGTCAATTACGAGTATGATTACAGTTGGAATACTACAAATCTTTCCATGAGCGAGAAAATCTAGCGAGAGGCTACAAGAGTCCCCGAAGTTGAGTAATGCTACAAATCTTTGTCCATGAGCGAGAAAATCTAGTGAGAAGGCTACAAGAGTTGTCTACTGCGTTTCCGGAGGGAATGAAATGAGATGACTGAGCTGGTGTTGAAGCGCGTGAAAATTGCCTGGCTGGGCGGCAGTCTGCGGAGGTGCTGCCGGTGGATATTGGTGAGGAAAGGGCTGCGAGAAGGTATGAGCTGGCGGTAACGGTGACTGAGAATATAGAAACGATTGAAGTTGCTGCAGGAGGGCCGGATGCGGTTGAGACTGAGCGTGAGCAGGAGAAACGGCGGGTTGAGGCTGAGGCGGGAACTGAGGCGAGAACTGAGGCTGAGTTGGAGACGGTTGTTTTTGTTGAGATTCGGGCGTCGGTTCGGGTGGTGCAGGAACGGAGGATTCATCGGCAGGCGGTGTCAGGGCTACGGACGACATGAGAAGAGCCTGCAAAGACGACAGAAGACTCACAAAGCTTGTGCTCGAAAGCAAACTTCAAGGTAGCCAGACGGGCCTCCTCAGCTAAACAAGCCGCGTCTGAGGCTGCCTTCTGAGCGTCTGAGGCTGTTTTCTGAGCCTCGAGCATCTGCTTCACTTGCTCCGTTTCCTGCTGGCGACTCTCGGACATCTGCTTCTCGTTTTCACAGTATTTGTCCAAGATTTCCGATACTAGGCGCGCAGCAATCCGTTTGGCATCTTCGTTGACAGCAGACGCGTCTGGTACCGCCTTCGAGGCTTTTGTGTACTTTCGTTTCGGCTTATCGCCAGACGTAGAATCCACAGCAGCGGTCGTCGTAGGAGTCGCGGTAGTGGGATCAGCTGAGGTCTCGGTCTCGGTCCTCTGCCTTTTCGTTGCTCGTGGTCCTTCTCCAGTTGACGCCATACCTAGGGTCCAGCGGGTTACAGCGATGTCTGGAAGGAACAGAAGGACCTACGGGCTTGATGGTGGTTATATGCAAACACGGTCGGTGCACGTGCACGACGCGCTCCGTTTAGTATGACCAGGCCTGAGCATGGTGATAGCTATCCAAGATAATCCACCTAAACTGTCAGGGTCATGGTGGCCGAGTAGTTAAGGCGAGTGATTTGAACAAAGATAGTTTGTGTCTACAATATCACTTGGTGTTTCACCGCGTAGGTTCAAATCCTGCCCATGACGGGTGTTTTTGAAAGGAGGGGAAGTAGTTTGGGATTCTGTTTTTCAGCCCATGTTCGAGGCTGAAAGCATGTGACCAGTGTCTAAGTTCTTTTGTGAGATGGAGTCAGGAGCGTCTACTTGAGTGTACAATAGTGTTTGTTTCGCTCGCGTTCTGAGATGGAACGGGGCAGAAATTGTCTCATGATTACGTAATCATCAAATTATCACTTGGTGTTTCACCGCGTAGGTTCAAATCCTGCTTCCAGCGTTTTTTTTCTCTCGAATTTTTTTTTGTTCCGGGAAGGCACTGGAGTCTAGACTCTAGATCTTTCTCTTCGAGTCTCCGAATCGCTCGGCCCTGACTGGGCTACGAGACTTGGGGATGATGCATCTGGACAAAGGCGGACCGGAAGCCGTATTGATTTTACGACTGCATTCAGGAGCAACTTCGCACTCGGCCATCCTTTTCTTTACGTTTTGGTATTCCGTCATTCCGTCATTTGTTTCGGACATTACATGTCTTCCTGATACCCCGCATCTAGTTAAGGAAATCAAGGGCCGGAAGTGTAACTCACTATCCCGGCCCTGACTTTCTTCAATGAATACCAACAAGTCCAAACATCTCTTCCTTACCTTCCACCATGACCGAGTACGATTTCAGTCCAGCTGCGATTCACCAATTCCAAGAGAAGCAGCGCAGCATTCACAGATGGGTCACCGAGACCAAAAAACATTCCCCATCTAATCCGTTTGTCCCGGAACTCCCTCAGCGGGCACAGACATTCAATGTCGTGCGACCACCACCACCGGAGCGACGGGTATCATCGTCTTCATCGCGTCCTACGACGAGCTCCCGACCGAAACACACTAGATCGAGAACAGAAGCTTATACCCCAAAGTCTTCTCAAAGTCACTCCCGACATCGACAACAACCTTTACGGTCCACCACAACCCCCGTGTACCCCACGCGACCCCCAGTTTACCAGCAACAGTCGATGCCGCAGTACCCGGCTAACTATTACTATATGCATCCCCAGAGGGGTCAGATGACAACAGTACGTCTTCTTCTCTGTTACCCCAGGCCACTGACCGTTATTCCTTGCAGACACCCTACCACCAGCCCCAGCAGCCTCAATACCCGTATCCTGTCCAGCAATACTCCGCTCCTCCCGTTCCAAAGACGGGTGTTTTCTCCCGACTCGTAAACTTTGTGAGCGGGAAAAACCCCAATTCTCCTCCTACTCGCCAGCCAAGCCGGCATTCGAACAAGAAGAGGCGAGACCGAGGACATACCTACTGGTAGGTACCATAGTCTTTGGTTCACGATCGTCGTGATCGATCGTTCTCTCTTGCGCAGAAGACCGCCTTTTCGCCGCCATATTGACATTCATTACTACCACGAATGTGTGAACTCCACACCGTAATCCATCACGAAGCAAAATCATATTATCGCATGCACACGACTCTACGTACACAGTTTACGATTCACGCCATCGTCACGGAGGAACTATACCCACTCATCATGATATACTCGTAGACTTTTACCAGTTTTAATGCGATATGTTTACATCACTGAGGATTTTTTATCGAGGGGCACGTTACACAATCTTTCGCGCCCCCTCCACGCTGACTATTGCGTCATAGATCTGAGCGAGGCCCTGTGACCTTGTCCAGGGCAACGCGTGGTTGCAACGTTTCGTGTCGCCACACCGACTACAGTAGCGCGTAGTGCCTTTGTGGCTGGATCGATGAAACACGCATATCGGGCCTCAGGAGCTGGACTCACCTCGAGGCTTGCTACAACAAATGGGAAAGTCTTGAACCATGACTAGAGCTCTCTCCTGGCACCATCTCTGAGCTGCGGCCGGACTTTGGAAGGGTCTGGCGCTCCCACGATTTCAGATCATCCCTGACAATTGTAACACCCCGAGAGAATAAGGAAACCTCAAATCATTCCGTTAGCGGTGTTCATTTTTGGCACCACCGCACCACCCGAACTCCACAATGATATGGGTATCGCGTTATTTTGGGGGTGATTGTGATAAAGGTGAGTCGGAAAGAGCAAGCTTTTGTGTTGACCTCTCATGCGGGTCATGAGATGCGGAGACGTATCCTGATTATCCCCGTGCATTCGCAGTGTTTCATTGGCTAAAAGACGTGATCTGGCCTCGCGAGGCGCTTCAAAAATCAGGATCCTTGAGGTCCGAAACCCAATATCCTTCTAACGGGGCCCGTTCATCACAGGTCGACCGAAACTGATCAACGCCGTCCAGCAAAAATCACAACATCGATTAGCTTCTAACGGATGCAAGTGATTCATTTCTTCCGGACGCCTGTCGTTTAAGGTCATGAATCCAATTGCTTGGTACAGCAATGACACGTCCGCGTGCCACTTCTTCCGACGCGAACCTTTTGTCGACGTCATAGAAATAGTCATAAACAGTGATGAATTTCTTCACAGTATACAAGTACAGAAGAATGAAGCAACGGATGTGAACGCATTCAACTACATAGAGAAGATGCCTTGGATCGTAAGTATCATGCAGCTTAAAGGAGAAGGATGCGCGGCAAACGTGTGTGTGAGCGCGCATCATCTATCCCCTACATATCAATCGATCATCTAGTCAATACGGGTCTCCGTGGGTAGCTTTTCAGTATCATTCGCCCGTCGAGAGAAATCCGAGCTGAAAAGATACCATCCATTGGTGGTGGGAGGATCAATACGAACGCCAGCTGATACATCCGATAATGACTCCGCATCGATGTCAGAATCGACATCGGAGAACATGTCAAAGTCGGAGGCCGCTCGAGTAGTAATGAATGAGGAAGAAAAATCAAGGGTCGGAAGGATGAACGATCCAGTTGGCTCCTCAAATTGAGAAGGCCTCTCCATTTGATCTTCATACTCTCCTGATATGCCCGAGAGAATGGAAGAGGTATCCGAAAATGCATCGTCATCGTCCTCTTCCGGTATCGTTCGCAATTCCTCCAGCGCGCACCACCCGCTTCCACTTTCCCCGATGATACTCCTTACTTCCGCCTTAGTCCAGCCGACAAACTCGACTTTGAGAATGGTGCAGGCACCATTGGCGTCGGCGCGGGTTGCGTACGCTGAGCATTGTACGCCCCGCTCCCAGACATTCGCCGCGTCAAGTCGGTGGAATAGGGACGAAACTCGCAAAGAATGCAGTTCGTGAGAGTTATGAATAGACGCCAACTGCGGTAAGGGAAGGAGTGACTGATGAGAGGGCGTATCTGGAGGGAGAGGGGTACGCTCGGTAGGGGTAGGTGCGAGGGGGATGAGAAGAGAAGTTGTAACTCCATTGCTTGGAGGAGCGGGGAAGTAGTGCTCGATCTCAGCATCGACAGTAGGTTCTGAAGCAGGGGCAGAAGGCAAAACAATCTTGTTCTCCTTCGCCTTCAAGGAGAGCTTTCCCCTAACTTTCTTCTTGTCGTGCTTGATAGACTTCTTCATTGCCTCCCTTTCCTTCCTCATCTTAATTTCCCAGTCCACTTCGCAGAACGCACGACCCGTTACAGGTACGTTCTGTGCAAAGTTTTCAAAGAGAACACGGCCTGAGGAAAAGTTCCTTGCTGTCCCGAGACCGACTTGCGTAACGGTTCGAGGAACAACCGGGCCGCGGGGAATAAAGTGGTGCTGCAGAGGTCTAGCTAGAGTGTATCGAACAGAGTGCGACATGCGCTGCTGAATAGATGGGATGCGCCCCGGTAGCCCTCCATGGATAGACTGAGCCACTGACGACGCTCGACGAACACCTAATCCTGGTGCAGTAAGATGAACATAGAATCGGGACGCAATTTGTTTAGCCGTGGATAGTATCCGCCGCGCTGCATTTCCAGTAGGTGAGGTGCCGGCAGGTAACAAGCTTGGGTGCGCAGAAACATGAATGGATCTGGTTGCCGTCGTCCGTAATTTTGGAACGACGAAGGCGGAGATGTCGCGGGTTGCAGCCCGCGCTCCATGAGACGCTATTTGCATCTCTGCAAAGTTGAGCGGCGCGTTTCAGTAAGAATTATACTCGACGATGGCAAGAGGAGGTGGTGGTCCAGAGCCAAGGTGCTGTTCCAGGAGCGCCGCCGACTTCGCGTCAGTGGTGGCTGTACTTCGGCATGACACACAGCTCTGACGTGAGCTCTTTTACGAAGTACGATCGCTCCTTGGTATCATGATCGCGTATTGAATAGAAAACCGGTTTCGCACTCCCAGATAGCCGCTTGAATAATAATATTCCATCGTGGGGTTAGACATCACCTTGCATCAACAATCGTATTATGACCAACTCCACACCCGATGATGTTCATGGCGAAATCTTCTTTGACGTGTACAGGATTGAGTCCCATTTCACCGTCATCAGGACCAACCAAGACGTCACCTACTAATACATATTCAACCCCTAAATACACATCTCCTCAAATCCACGGATCCTTTTCGGACACTGCAGGCCTTCATGGAACGAACTAGTCGGTGGCCAAAGAAGACGCACAGACGAAATCAGTGACTCCATTTGAGTCTATGGGTATCAATCAGGAGCGAAGAGATGTCGTGGACCTAGAAAAGAGTAGGACGAGGACTTGCTATCATCGCCAGTTAGTCGACGAGCTCCTTTCGTTGATCATCGAAGGGGTGAATATTGGTCTTTGGTACCGTAAAAAGCGGTTGAGTGATTTTAACAGCCATTTTATATTGCATCAGTACTAAGTAAGATACATAGCAGGCGCAGTCTGGGGCCTGCATCGGAGGGTTTCTACCATGCTTTCAAGATCACGCACTCGAGCCTCTTCCGCCAGATATGCCTGAGTGTATTTAAATAAATTTCTCGTGATCCGAAGTGACCAAGCTCACCTGCTGCAAACGAGTCCATTTTGGTAACCGTAGTCTTTCCCGCATATTTATCGTCTCCGGGGACGCCACCGACGGATCTCTTTCCACATGCTTCACTACGGAATACAAGCCCTAGACTCGAGTATCCAGATTGCGGTGACTTGCGCACCTGCGCTTG